ACACACACACACACACACACACACACACACACACACACACACTCAAACACTCTCACACACAAACACACACACACTCACACACACAAACACACAGGAAGTAGCCCATGACAGCTGTCTAACTCCCAGGTGCCTATTTACTGCTAGGTAACAGGAGAATCAGGGTAAAACAAACTATGCCCATTTGTTTCCGCCATCACCGGGGATCGAACCAGGACAATAGGATTATGAGTCGCAAGCGCTGTCCCCTCAGCCACAGGCCCTGTTTGTATACTCACCTAGTTGTGCTTGCGGGGGTTGAACTCTGGCTCTTTGGTCCCGCCTCTCAACTGTCAATCAACTGGTGTACAGATTCCTGAGCCTACTGGGCTCTATCATATCTACACTTGAAACTGTGTATGGAGTCAGCCTCCACCACATCACTGCCTAATGCATTCCATCCGTTAACTACTCTGACACTGAAAAAGTTCCTTCTAGCGTCTCTGTGGCTCATGTGGGTACTCAGTTTCCACCCGTGTCCCCTTGTTCGCGTCCCACCACCGTACTTGTTCGTGTGTGTGTGTGTGTATTCACCTAGTTGTATTCACCTAGTTGTGCTTGCGCGGGTTGAGCTCTGCTCTTTCTGCATGTAGTTTCATCTTTTAGCAATATTACATTTTAATAAAGAGAGAGAAAGAGACAGAAAGACAGAGTAATTGAGATAGATCAATAGATAAATAGAGAGAGATAGAGGTAGGGCGCCAGACAGATAGAGAGAGGGACCCCCGGACACCGCCGGGTCCCTTACCAGTCACCATATAAACAACGGGTCTGGCAGCACCAGCCACGACCACAGCTGATGTGACTCCTCGTGCACACTTCACCACCACACACTAACACCCTCACTCCGCCCCAGAGTGTCCACCCCCGCCCTCCACCACCTTGTGTGTCGCACTCTTGATGTGTCACACTGTTGATGTGTCGCACTGTTGATGTGTCGCACTGTTGATGTGTCGCACTGTTGATGTGTCGCACTGTTGATGTGTCACACTGTTGATGTGTCGCACTGTTGATGTGTCACACTGTTGATGTGTCGCACTGTTGATGTGTCGCACTGTTGATGTGTCGCACTGTTGATGTGTCGCACTGTTGATGTGTCGCACTGTTGATGTGTCGCACTGTTGATGTGTCGCACTGTGATGTGTCGCACTGTTGATGTGTCGCACTGTTGATGTGTCGCACTGTGTGTGATGTGTCGCACTGTTGATGTGTCGCACTGTTGATGTGTCACACTGTTGATGTGTCGCACTGTTGATGTGTCACACTGTTGATGTGTCGCACTGTTGATGTGTCGCACTGTTGATGTGTCGCACTGTTGATGTGTCGCACTGTTGATGTGTCGCACTGTTGATGTGTCACACTGTTGATGTGTCGCACTGTTGATGTGTCACACTGTTGATGTGTCGCACTGTTGATGTGTCACACTGTTGATGTGTCGCACTGTTGATGTGTCGCACTGTTGATGTGTCACACTGTTGATGTGTCACACTGTTGATGTGTCGCACTGTTGATGTGTCGCACTGTTGATGTGTCGCACTGTTGATGTGTCGCACTTTTGATGTATTATGTTGATGATGTTGTTGATGAGCTACAAGTGGTCCAAGAGCTACAGGTGGTCCAAGAGCTACAAGTGGTCCAAGATCTACAGGTGGTCCAAGAGCTACAGGTGGTCCAAGAGCTACAGGTGGTCCAAGAGCTACAAGTGGTCCAAGAGCTACAAGTGGTCCAGGAACTACAGGTGGGCCTAGAGCTCCAGGTGGTCCAAGAGCTACAGGTGGTCCAAGAGCTACAAGTGGTCCAAGAGCTACAGGTGGTCCAAGAGCTACATGTGGGCCTAGAGCTCCAGGTGGTCCAAGAGCTACAAGTGGTCCAAGTGCTACAGGTAGTCCAAGAGCTACAGGTGGTCCAAGAGCTACAAGTGGTCCAAGAACTACAGGTGGTCCAAGAGCTACAGGTGGTCCAAGAGCTACAGGTGGTCCAAGAGCTATAGGTGGGCCAAGAGCTACAAGTGGGCCAAGAGCTACAGGTGGTCCAAGAGCTACAGGTGGTCCAAGAGCTACAGGTGGTCTAAGAGCTACAAGTGGGCCAAGAGCTACAGGTGGTCCAAGAGCTACAGGTGGTCCAAGAGCTACAAGTGGGCCTAGAGCTCCAGGTGGTCCAATAGCTACAGGTGGTCCAAGAGCTACAGGTGGGCCAAGAGCTACAGGTGGTCCAAGAGCTACAAGTGGTCCAAGTGCTACAGGTGGTCCAAGAGCTACAAGTGGTCCAAGAGCTACAGGTGGTCCAAGAGCTACAGGTGGTCCAAGAGCTATAGGTGGGCCAAGAGCTACAAGTGGGCCAAGAGCTACAGGTGGTCCAAGAGCTACAGGTGGTCCAAGAGCTACAGGTGGTCTAAGAGCTACAAGTGGGCCAAGAGCTACAGGTGGTCCAAGAGCTACAGGTGGTCCAAGAGCTACAAGTGGGCCTAGAGCTCCAGGTGGTCCAATAGCTACAGGTGGTCCAAGAGCTACAGGTGGGCCAAGAGCTACAGGTGGTCCAAGAGCTACAAGTGGTCCAAGTGCTAAAGGTGGTCCAAGAGCTACAAGTGGTCCAAGAGCTACAGGTGGTCCAAGAGCTACAAGTGGTCCAAGAACTACAGGTGGTCCAAGAGCTACAGGTGGTCCAAGAGCTACAGGTGGTCCAAGAGCTATAGGTGGGCCAAGAGCTACAAGAGGGCCAAGAGCTACAGGTGGTCCTAGAGCTACAGGTAGTCCAAGAGCTACAAGTGGGCCAAGAGCTACAGGTGGTCCAAGAGCTACAGGTGGTCCAAGAGCTACAGGTGGTCCAAGAGCTATAGGTGGGCAAAGAGCTACAAGTGGGCCAAGAGCTACAGGTGGTCCAAGAGCTACAGGTGGTCCAAGAGCTACAGGTGGTCTAAGAGCTACAAGTGGGCCAAGAGCTACAGGTGGGCCAAGAGCTACAGGTGGGCCAAGAGCTACAAGTGGTCCAAGATCTACAGGTGGTCCAAGAGCTACAAGTGGTAAAAGAGCTACAGGTGGTCCAAGAGCTACAAGTGGTCCAAGAGCTACAAGTGGTCCAAGAGCTACAGGTGGGCCAAGAGCTACAGGTGGTCCAAGAGCTACAAGTGGTCCAAGTGCTACAGGTGGCCCAAGAGCTACAAGTGGTCCAAGAGCTACAGGTGGTCCAAGAGCTACAAGTGGTCCAAGAGCTACAGGTGGTCCAAGAGCTACAGGTGGTCCAAGAGCTACAGGTCAAGAGCTATAGGTGAGCCAAGAGCTACAAGCGGGCCAAGAGCTACAGGTGGTCCAAGAGCTACAGGTGGTCCAAGAGCTACAGAGTGGTCCAAGAGCTACAGAAGGTCCAAGAGCTTCAGATTGTCCAAGAGCTCCAGATGGTCCAGGAAATTCAGATGGTCCAAGAGCTACAGGTGGTCCAAGAGCTACAGATGGTCCAAGAGCTACAGATGGTCCAAGAGCTACAGATGGTCCAAGAGCTACATATGGTCCAGGAGCTACAAATGATCCAAGAGCTACAGATGGTCCAAGAGCTACAGGTGGTCCAAGAGCTACAAAAGGTCCAAGAGCTACAGATGGTTCAAGAGCTACAGATGATCCAAGACCTACAGATGATCCAAGAGCTACAGGTGGTACTTTACATGGTGAGAGTGTCCAACACTCCACCATGTAAAGTACCATATTGATGATGATGTAAAACTAGAAGTTTGGTAATAATGTGGTGACGTGGTAGAAGGATCGGATTCTTTGTATCCAAATCAATTTCCGCATGAAGCAGACGTCCTCCACACCTTAATATATTATGAGTGTTAGTATCATTCCAGATACCTAGAGACTTGGTTAATTTATCTGGAAGATTTTCATATTCACTTCCATATGTCTCTTGTTGTGCGCGTTTGATCCAGTAGAGGATAGGATTGCTAAACTTATGCCTGATTCCTATCTTAGAAAGAAAGTCAAACACATGTGCTGTCACTCTTAATAACTTACTCAAGTTAGAATAATTATGAGGATTAATAGCAGAGATTCGATGAGGTTCTGGGTCTTTCATGGGAGTAGTGATACTGGTCACTATGACTTATGGTTTCTGTTTGGGCCACTGACCACTAACAAGCCATGAAAGTCCATTAAACCACACCGAAGACTTGATTAGTTGTTTTAAGGTTAACCCTCTTGATAAGTAATCTGCAGGATTGTCCTTAGTGGGGACATGTCTGAATTTATATCCCGCAGATAATTCATGAATTTCCCTAACGCGATTACTAACGTAAGGAGTTTTATTGTTGTTATTTCTTACCCATTGTAAGACTGCCTCATTGTCTGACCACACTACGAGATCACCAAAGTGGATATTATTGAGTGTTCTGGTCAGGCAATGAGCCAATCTCACTCCCACCAGCAATGCAGTTAACTCCATTTGAGGTAAAGATCTCTTCTTGATTGGAGCAACTATTGCTTTAGATGTGAGTAAAATTGATTGTGCACTATTGACTAAGTAGGCTGCAGCGCCATACGCTTTGCCAGAGGCATCGCAAAAAACGTGCATATTTGTGGGCAAGTTTTGTCCTGAAACATTACAAGGAAATTTCAAAACACCTAATTGATTGAAATCCGTTGCGAGTATTTGCCATTTATCTTGCAACTCAATTGGCAATGGATCATCCCATCCCATATGTTTCTGCCAGCATTCCTGGATGAGGAGTTTACCCCTTATTAATATAGGATTAAGTAAGCCCAAAGAGTAAATGGTTGACTGACATACGAGAGTAATTTTCTCATGGTAAGGGATGAATTATTGGTTTGTACTGACTTGACATTCATCTCGTCAGTACCTGTGTTCCATTCCACGCCCAGAACTTTTAATTGATTAGGCACCTGATAACCCAGAAATTCTTTCTCGATTATCTGGTTTAATGATTTATTGTTTGAGGCCCATGATTGTAGTGGCATATTGGCTCCTAATAACTCACGGTTAGCCTCATGGTAGATTTCTACCAATTTGGATTTGTCATTAGTAGTTCCCTGGAAATTATCGACATACAAGTTGTCACTGATCTCCGTTTTATAAGGGCTATTTGACTTCTTCAAATGTGTATCTAATGTGGCTTGAAGTAGAAACGGTGAAGAAACCGGAAGGCTTATGACATCACTGTCAGGATCCAGTGGGTCCTTAATCCAGAGAAATTTGGTGTAATTACGATCCCCCTCTTGCAAGCCTACTCTAAGGAAAGCTTTACTGATATCAGCAGTATTAGTGAAAATACCAGTGCGGAATCGTAATAATACATCATGTAGCCTTTGTGTTAGGCTAGGTCCCGTTTGGAGACATTCATTCAAGGACACCCTGTTTGCCTTCACTTTGGCACTATAGTTGAAGACAATACGTATTGGCGTTGTCAATGAATCTTTCACCACAGCGTGATGGGGTAAACAGTGACCTGTTTTTCGGTCATCATTATCAACAACTTCGATAAACTTACTATTGAGTTGTTGTTGAATTAATTGATGATACATGTTCAATTTATCTGGCTGTTTCTTCAGCCGTATTAATTGAGACTGTAATTGAGAGGCTGCCATGAAATAATTAACTGGAAGTTGTGGATGATTCAACTTCCATGGCAGTCTCACCCAGTATTGTTTGTCTTTATAGACAACTGTGTCCAGATATTGCTGGTAAGCCCACGTATCATCAGGGCTTGGTTGTTCAGGGACAATACCTAAAGTGTCTAAATCCCACAGACGATGTACAGGTGGATCAGACTCATTATCTTCAGATATTTCTTTGAAATGTACAGGTGACTGTTCCAAGCCTAGTCACGCCACTATTGAATTGTTAGTTTGTTTGTTGGTTGACGCTGTTTTTTGTTGGAAAAGCACCGGTCTAGTAAGCAATTTGCCTCCAGCAGATGACAACAAATTCATTCTATGTTGTCTGGTGCATCCTGATATAAATTTATTATAATAGTCAGCGCCTATTAGGATACCAACATCTGTGAGGCAGTCAGAATTTATTTTGTGATCTGCTAGCCTCATGCGGTTACGTTTGAGATATCTTGCAGTGCGAGCTAGTCCTGTGACCTGCAGGTCTGAAGGAAGTTTATCTACTACTACCGCTTGTATTGGACTAGTGGAAGATCCAAGTCTCACTAACACCTTGACTACTTGGTATTCACGAGGTCCACTATTAGTCAAGAACCCAGAAATATTCAGTCTCACACTTTTGGCAGGTTTTAATTTTAACTGCTCGACTAATTGTTGTGTGATGAAGGTTTTCTGTGATCCTTGATCAAAGAGACCTCTAGTGTTAACTTTAGATTTCCTATCAATTAGTTTGAGTTGAGCTGTAGGCAGAGTAGTATTATTACCAGACTCAGTAACAAGTACATTTATTTCTTGATGTACCTTGCAATATTGTACTGTGGTAGAATTCATAGAATCCTCCCTAGGTGTCACAGATTGTGTAGAAGTTTTTCTGCATAAGTCATAATGATGTACACCTTTGTTGCATCTACTGCATAACCGTAGCTGCACTACACATTTACTGGGATCATGAGAACCCATGCACTTGGTGCATCTGGGTAATTCTTGTAGCCGTTTAATCCTGGTATTAAAGTTAGGATAAACAGTGCATTTGTAAGTGACATGTTCTTGGTCACAGAACAGACACCTTCTCTCTCTGGCTGAGTTTGTCCTTTTAGTTGACACATCAGTTGCAACGTCAGAGGGAGATACAGAATAAATACCTACACTACCACTCCTTTTCCCAGGGAATGAGTAGTCCTAGGTTTGGATTTATTGAACTTATTCAAAGTCGATTTGGGTTTGACTGAGTTGTCAAAGTTAGGTGGTTTAGACTCAGGTTTAATCTTATCATGAGTCTTTAACCTGTTAACCGTTATTCTCAGTCCCTCGAATATTTGCTCGAGAGTGAGAAACTCGGTTTTATAGTGAGAGTAGATTTCTGCTAAAATATTTTGAGTTAATTTCCTCTGTAAAAGTAACTTAATTGACCATTCTGAGGCTGGTACATCAACTTTAGTACCTAAGGCCTTCACAAGAGACTCTACTTCTAGCCTGAAGCTTTGAAGTGAGTCTGGTCGGTTACTTGGTGCATTCAGATCCAGTAACTGGTAATACAGGTTAGCTATACTCAACTCCTTGTTGCAATAGTTCAACTTTAATAGTTTCATAGCTTCCTCATAATTACTCTCAGTGTTATTTATGACCTTTTTAGCCTCCCCTTTGAGAAGACTAATCAGGTATGAGAATTTAGAAACTCTGTCAAGAGAAGATTTCTTATGTATATGTACTTCAAATGAAGTCCAAAATGTGTCCCAATTTTCTTCATCCAGCCCTGCAAATGTAGGTAAGTCTAAAGTAGGTAGACGAACCTCAGGTAATTGATAACTGGATTGAGACACAGTATTATTTGTATTAGATTTATATTGTTTTACTATATTGGATATTACATCAATTTTATCTTGAGTCTCATCTTCATACTGAGAAATATCTGCTAGAATTTGATCTATTTCATCAGGATCAGTTTCAGTTGCATTCAGTAGGTTGAGATAAGACTGGCTTGTAGATCTGACTTGATCAAATTTGAGATTTGCTACTCTCAATGATCTTTCTAGTTGATAGTAATCAATGGGAGTTGCTTTAGACAAAGTATCAGACTTATTAATGAGTCTGGTTAAGTGACCTTTAAGGCCAATATAGGTTCTCCTTAATTGTTCAGGAGTAGCCATGTTGGCTTTAAGTCCAAGTTTCATAGGACTTGAATAAGTATTACTAATGAAGCTTGGGTACTTGCTCATTAGTTGACAAGTAATATTGAATATAGCCTAAATTAATCTGGCTAAATTACACTCTACCTCACTCGAGGTTAAATGTACTTACCTAACAATAAGTAGCTAAGGATTTTGAGCAGTGCTTGAACGTCACCATTAACTTTTTTCCGCTAGCTCTTCTTTATCACCATTAGATGTAATAGTGATCATTCAGCAGCACTCAAAATTCATACACATAAATAATTGATATGGATATACTCTAATCTGAGTTACCATACAGTTTGAATCCCACCCTTGATAGAGTCAGCACAAGAATGAATAGTGTATGCACTACTGACTAGTCCAAGACTAGTTGTAAGAATTTCTACCTAAGAAACTACTAATTTATTTAGTCTGCATTTGTACAAAACTCAGCACAATCACAGCCCTGGACCTAGATTCAGGAAGCTCCATGTATTTCTTCGTAAGTAGGTTTGCTACGAAGGTTCCTAAGTGTGCCCTAAGAAGATGCTTAGGTGCAATTCAAGTACGTCCACTTAGGAAGATATTTGTTGGTTCACCTGCGTGCCGATAGAGGTCACTACTGTGTTTCGTTTGGCCAATCAGAGAGCAGCAACATTCTTCATAGTGAAGATTTAGCGCTGGCTTATCGGAGCTCTACTGCCTCCTATTTACGTCGAATTTTCTTATAAAATTAGTATATTTCGAAGTAAAACTGTTTTTTTCAACTTCTACAGCCAGCACCGACATTGTAGTAAACAAATATGTTACATTTGTTGTTTACCTACGTAATTCTAAGAGATACTGTGTAGCTG